CTCACCAATTCGACCAATGAGACATGCCTGATTGGTCGAATTGGTGAGACGCCCGCCTAGAGTGTAGGGAAGTCCAGGTTCAAGCCCTGGCTGAGGTGATACTTTGCCGCAATAAATTTTCTCTAATTAAAATTGCCAGTTGTGTCGGTTATCAATTTTCCTACACCACAAATTTATACATTGTAAAGGTACATTTTCTCACGTAGTTCAATTTTTTTTTAAATATTACGGCATTCGTAGCCGGATCTTAATATTTAAGACTGTTTTGAATTTATCTAAAGATACTGTATGGAACATTTTATTGGCCATGGAGTATCTAAAGATGATCTTAAGACGATCTTAAATATAAAATGACTATGAGAATACCGGCTTAATAATAAGAAATAATGTTGTTGAATTGTAGTCGCGACATACATGTATACTATATTAAAAATCGATGTCTGGTCTTTTAGATATAACATTACAACAATGATTATTTTTAACGTCTTATTTTGGTAGTCATTTTCGTAAAGACTTTTGTATCGCGTTAGAACATAAAACTCATTGTTCATTCGGATTACAAGTTCTGCAGTTCTCGATATTATAGAGCCAAAAAAGACTTATCGGAAATTCGATAAGTCCCGGTACCGGATATATTACTTTGTTTGCTTTACATTTCTATCGATCGATTGGTATTGAGCAAAGTGCAAAGGTGAAGGAATAGACCGATTTGTAAGATAATAATAGAGGCACTATATAAGTGATAATGGATTTACTAAACGTACGCGACATTGAAATCGTTAAAACATGATATATTGCAAATATCTATCGATAAAGAATTTTACGAGGATAAAAATCGACACTGTACAATGAGCTTCAGAAGGTATCGTTAATAATCCGCGCTGTAGTTTATCCAGATAAATATCAAAATAAATTTTACCTAACTCTCGTCCGTGACCCCTCCAACTCTTCTTAAGAACAATCCATCTCGCCTCACCGAGCCAATCCGACACCTAAAACGAGCCTTCAGGCCCTGCCATTAATTTCCGAGAAGAAGAATCATCCTCGGCGTTCTTTACAATCATAAAAGCGAAGAAGACGTCTCGTTTCGCGCGTTTTATTAATATTTAATGCGAATCGTTCGCGCGTTCACATTTTCATCCCGGCCCGTCCCATATTGGCGCCATAACTCTTCCAATCTGAACCTCCGCGCACTCTCGCACCCACCGAGGAATCCCTCCCCCCCCCCTTCCCCAGGACCCGACGTTTCCCTCTCACCACGTTCGACGTGAAATTGGGGATTTTATCGTGACGCTGTATTAACGAACTCCGGCGGACGAAGAACGAGCGTGGATTTAACGGGCGGATCAAGACGGCTATTCCCGCCGGGGAAGAAATTTAATATCGTTTCTGCTCACGTCTCGAAGCGATGAGTTTCGATAAGTGCGATATCCCCTTAACTTTCGAGCACTCGAAAAATGTTTTATGAGACTCGTCCACCGTGTGTACACGCGTATCGAGGCCGGATCAGTTTAATCATCGGCGCTGAACGATTGTTTCCTTTCTGGATCTATGAAAGCTTTCCATCTCGTTGAAATGAATATCTTGAGCCCGAATGGATTATCGGACAGTCTTTTTTTCACGTTGGCTGCTTTTTATTTGCTACCAATTGTTATTAAAACATTCCACAGTTTTGCCTTTTTGAGCATATAATGTTGCTCCCGCTAATTTGGCTTTGATAGATTGATTTGACAGTGAAATAAAATAAGTGATTGAGATTGATTGATTTCCCACATAATTAAATTAATTTTTTTCTGTGGATATTTATGATACCACATACAAGGTGATAAGCTGTGATTGGCTTAAACATTGCTATATCTCAAAACTGGGGTTTGCATTATTTATAATTTATGTTGCATTATTTATTTGCGTATCGACATATGAGAAAGGTATTTTCATAAATTGTCGCCGGTGTCACGCGGCGCGTCGTACCGTTGCATTAATTATGAACAAGAATCATATTTTTTCCACGCTATTGTCCAACTATCGTAACTGCGTCAACATGACCGATAGCGCGGCGAACTAGGCCGGTGATTGCGTCCCAATAAATATTGTCTATCTGAAACAAGCCGCGCCCGACTTGGAATACTTTAATTATTCGCCCCATAAGCCTCGTTTATCATCGTTAGCGGGCATGCACGACCTGAAGCCATTAATGTACAGTGCCACCTTTTTTTCGGCCGGTACACCTGTCTCGTGCGTCCCGCGAGAAAATAATGTTCTTCGATGGCTTAGATCGATACCATCGTAAAGTGCATTTTCAGGCTAATACGGCGGCAAGACACATCGGAACGTATTTTTATGGACGCACAACAGTGATAACAGTCGTCGAATGCATTTCTCTGCTTTGAAATAAATGAGAAGGTAATTTTCAGCCGCACGTTACGAATTATCATACGTTATACAAATTACCCTCGCCCGTTATAATTTCAACTTTATCGCATTGCTATTTATAAACGAAACATATTAAATTTATGCAAATCCTATCTGCATATTCTGTACAGCTTTTGTAATCAATATAGCTTTTTATAGCATGGACAAACATAACTTAATCGAATATCGTAGTTTAGCATATCCCATTTGTTTATTATGTTATCAGACGCATCCCGTTTCTGCATAACTCCGTTTGATTTACGTGCAGAAATTAATGATTCGTGTGCGCGCAGAAAGTGCCATTTTACGAAATTGCCAATAAATAATCCGGCACAATTTAGTCGGCGGGCATCGTTTATAATATTTTCCGACGTGCGCCATCAAAATAAATCAGAGATTCACATCAAGATCACAGTCAATCATGGGACAGACGTTTCCTGCATTTCCATTGAGTCGACTTTCTAGGGAAATCGTTTTATTTCCCAGCATGAGCTTCCTCTTTACGTGGTGCGATGCGACAGTTATTATTTATCTCAGAACAAAGAACGCAGACCTGCTCTCTTTATTTCCTTTTGTTCCTTCCTTGAACCATCTCTGCAGAAGAGATCTTACCAGAGACAGACTATAATAATGAAGCGTTTGCTTCTTCAGTTTGCATCACGCTTATAGTATACCAACCATGAAAAACGTAAAGATTATAATGGAAAACGTGCCGCGTTTTATCTTACATTTATCCTTTGTTTCTTCATTTTATTTTCCTTGTGGCGCAACAAGATGTAACTGTATATCGTTTTATACATAAATAAATCTATCAACGCTGGTTTTATTTTGCATACAGTATATTTCTATAATTTATTTCTTTTCACATGTTATGCCGGTTTGATTATTTAATTACAAATTGTCGCAATTACTCGATCATTGCTGTTTATGAGGAAATATTTGTTGAAAATTATTTAAATATTCGCAATTAATTGATAAAAAGTAAATATATCCTTTTTCTATTTTGCAGATATGGAATCAGAGTGGATCCCTGGCAATGGTTTCTCTTTCTTAGCGGCAAGGACGATGGCGGCGAAGAATATCCCTCGTTGCTGCTGATCTGCTGTAAGTGAAACTGCCGATATGTCATTTTACATTTGTTTAACGGAAACGGAGCTGTCAATGTTCGTGGCCTCGATTACAAGGTGATCGACAGTTATTATAAGAATTTCGTCTATGTCGATATCAACGGAAGTGTGTCAGGCAGAAAAGTATTGATAGCGACTCTTATTTAAAACCTTAGCGACTTTCATGTGTCAATTATGTGTTTTAATTCCGCTTTCACAGAATACTTTAATATCGTCAAAAATTATTTCTTTGATCGTAAAAATATACAAAAAGCAACATCGATTTCATTAAGTTATAACCAATTTTGCGGAAGCAAAAAGTTATTTAGATTTAATATTAGGAAAATTATTATAGATTGCATTGTTAGACAAATTCGTATTATTTACGATACGATATCTATTCATTTAGCATTTAAAATGAAAAGCCGACGAGCTCGCAATCGCTTTTCGCTGTGGAAACCTATAAAATCCAGCTGCACAGAGAGAGAGAGAGGGAGAGAGAGAGAGAAAGCTGCGCCGGACTCTACATTCCGCTTTTATTGTCGCGGGTCGTGGTTGGTCCACGTTGATTCTCCAGTATCCGCGGTAATTCAGTTTCACCATTTCCCGGTCGTCATGTTTTTTTTTATTTAACTGTACGTAATGTGAATACCCGTCGATATCCGCGCTTCTGAACGCGGCTGTAATGACGCATATAATTTTACCCCTGAAGATAACGGATGAAAGAGACTGGAACAGTACGAGTCTATCAAAAACATTGAGAAAATAATGAATAACGCTTTGAGAATTCAAAGTCAGGCTCTATCTTCTCTTGGCAGTCGACCGTAGATAACGCTTAAGCAGAAGTATAAAAAGAATTAAAAAAAAAAGAAACGGAGAGAATGCGCTAGAAAGAACGGTTCAGGGCGAAATAAGGCGAGGAGCGCGCGGGGTACCAGGGTCGGTAGCGCTGATATGAGATGGGAAGGAAAATGAAGTCTGTTTCTGTATGGCAACTCAACTTTTGTTTTAGTTATCTCGTTATGGACCGCGCATTGCAAAATTGCAAAAAGGTAGAAACAATTTGGCAGAGTAATTCCCTACCTTCCTAGAATTCATCGATTCCGAACGTTTCCTCTAGGTGTTTATTTCAGTTGCTTATTTCAGAGGAAGAGCACTCGAGCATTTCCGCAGCGGCACAATTAGCTCTTCTGCATCTCTATGATGCTGGAAGAACTGACAGAGATGAATTTTAGCGTTATTTTCATAATTTATGGTTCACTCTTTGATTTATATTATACTTGCTACTGAAATTATTGTTTTACTTCAAAAATTCCAATACACACGCGCGCGAAATTTTCTGTTCTATTAAATATACACATGTGTTACGCTATTACATAGCAAACACAACGATGAGTCTTTATTTAATCAGGTTTTAATTATATATAAATGTATAAGAAAAATGCTTTACAGTTCAGATTATTAGCAATATCGTGCGCGCAGGGCCCGGTACAATTCGAGCTTGTTAAATTTTGCGATGGGATGTTTTTAGCCTAGACTTTTAAAATGGGTTGAAATTCAACGGGTCTCGCGTGAAACATAAATTTTAAAGTGCACAAGGCATCGTTCCTTTAAATAGCGAACATATTCCTCGCGTATTGTCCCCTTAGTGCCGCGCACTTTTGTGCTCGCTTGTTGCTCATCCGAGGTTGCAACGTCATAACTTACATACGTGCAACGGTCGCGTACGTGTGCAGTTTTAAATGCGAGTTGCACGCACAATGGTTGCAAATCAGGGGCTGCGACGGGAAGACTGGAAAATTTCAAAATATTAAGAATTTCAAGTAGAAGGTAAAGCTGCATAATTGATAACACAAGTGTCTCTTCTTGATTAAAAAAAAATTGATATTTTTTAAAGTACTAAAAAATCATTTTACACTTCAAAAAATCTCTCGTGATAATATTTTGCAGTGTTAAAAATATAAAAAGACATCTGAGTTTCTATATTCGGATTCTCTTTACGAGAAAGTAATACTTGTTACGCTTATAAAAATAGCGTTATCTTTCCTCGATTCCCTCCTCGGATATGTTAAAATCAATTCTATCTCTCCGAAGAAATTACTTTTGCTGTCAATGTCGTTCTAAAAGGGATTCCTGTATAATTTTACGCAGTTATTTTCGAAACAGTTTCAATCCCCTGTGCAGATTGAACGCAGGCGGCTTACGTCGTACTAAGCCGCTATGGAGGATTGCATCATTTACACATAAGGGACCGTAATGCTCATGGGAAACTATGGCTAATAGTTCCCATATTTTCGAATCTGCGTCGAGCGTCGTCGCTACTTCCAACGGGATGCTAAACCCGTTTCCTTTTTACAGCCAACCCAACCTTGTTTCTGTCTACCTTCCACGGAGCCTGGGTGTATTTCGTTCCCCCTGTCCTGCAGTGGCTCCTCGTATAATAATTCTTAGGGCGAATGAGTTCGAAATTGTTTTTTTTTAAACACAAGATTTCTGGCGACGGTCGTTTAGTGTTTAAAGTATTAGTTATTCGACGTATCAGATACTCGGCGGGTTAAATTATTTCGGAGGAGTATATTTTTTGTTCCATCTGTATCCGTTCCACAGATCTATCTTTGACGTCATTAAAACTTTGAGTCGCGTAACGTAAATACAACTGTTTCGGTGGATTCTGGCGAATGGCTACAGAAAATGGACACAAGAACAATCTGGAATTGAAATTTTGTTACGCATTTCTTCAACAATGTAGAAACACCGGATTAATAAGCCACGCAGTGTGTGAGCACCCAGAGTATCTCTATTAGTTTACATATTATTTCTTTATCAGATGCGGTGTTCATCTGCTTGATAAGTATATTGCGATATCCCGTTTTAAAAAGGCACGTGAGATTTAATTGTTGACGCGTCCTATCGATGCTTTGATTCTCTCACTTCGATCACTTATGCGAGAATAGCTGCCGTCGCGGAGATCATGTATTTTGATAGTTCATTAATTTGTCAACGTCACGTTACGTCTTCTTACTTTGCGTCTTCCTTGCACGAAGAAAATGTTAATATATAAAGATGATTACGAATAAATAGAAATTAAAGCGAAATAGAACATACGCGCGCAATACCATGACTTTTATATCAAGTATTTAATATCAATTAATTTATTAAATTATTTATTAAATTATTATGAAAGAAAAGAATTAGATAATTCGCTCGTAATAAATTAAGATTTGCAGTAAGTAATGTGCATTTGTACGCGTCAACTGAATCGACGCAAAGTCTCTCAGTAATTAGAACTTAAGTAACAACGATTTTCATTTCGAAACACTTTCTCGATTGAACGGAGTCAATCGTTATCTTAAGCCAACGGCACACGATACTACTTTTCCTACTGGATTGCTTACGAGAGCCAATAAGGATGCAGAGTTTTAGATCAGGTGACTTAAGGCTAAATCCTGATTGCCTCTCGTAAGCGATCCAGTAGGAAAAGTAGTATCGTGTGCCGTTGGATTTAAACGAGTCCGCAGAACGACACGCAAAATGTATAGTAACAGTCACCGAGCAAAATAATTTCAGATATTAGGTACACAGCTTTTTTTGTACATTCTTTTTGTAGGCATTCCAGAACAACACTCTCAACGTTTGTTTTTGATTTGCTCGCCGCGCGGTATCGTACGACGTTACGCGGGTCATTGTTTACGCGAAGGTCGCTGCGGTATCACTCGCTCGCCGAACGTCGGGTCGGTCGGCAGGCAGCAGCGAGAGTCGCTCCGTGTGTCGTATTATTTTCGTGTTATCAATTTCTGAGCCTGATTGCGATGAGTGTAAGGATAAATCGCTATTAATTTGTACACGGGTGTCAGAAACAAGTAACGTACGCCGATTAATTATTAAGTTTCTGTAATATATAATGAGAAGCGGTTTGCACGAGCGAAAGTAAGCCGTGGTTTGTCGCGATTACACCTCGTTTACGTGTTATCGCGCTTTGAATAATCTGCCGATTTCAGTGTAATCTGTTTTTCGGGAAAAGAGAGAGAAAGCTGATGTACGGCTTTGATATTTGCGTTGTCTATAATTTGTTCTCTCGTATAGACAGAAAGTAGCTTATCGCGTTACGTTATATCTCGAAATATGATCGAAAATCATGTAGTGGATGATTCGTTCGCGTAATTTATTTTGTGGAAAAATTAGATTAATTGACAGTAAGGATTGTAAAATATCGTTTCGTTATGGACCAATAACTAAAATTTCACCGCAGATATTTGGATTCCGATGCTCGCGTCGCGTTTTATCGCCAATTTAAAAGTGATTTATCCATTGCTACTTTCGAATCAAGAGTATAAGTTGACACGCAAGTTGCCGGTTCGAATTATTTGCGTGACGGAAAGTCATACGACGTATAATAATGCTTCGTGCATTTCGCAGTATTTTACGTCGCGTACGGGAGTGCCACCGGAAATTTCGCGCTATCGTAATAAATGATTTTCGCGAGTGAATAGTGTGTGAGTGCAAGGAAATCTGAGAGGAGGAGCAGGCCCAGAAGGCATCGGGCAACGGCGGAGCAACCATGACGTAAGTGTTTTATATTTTATATTTGCTACTTCCAAAATTAAGTTACTTGCAAAATCTGCCTCCTTTTTGTTTTACGAGGCATGTTCAGAAAGTAAGTGTACTGATTTTCTCACGGGCGTAGGGAATTTTTGTTGACAAAAGTGGTCACACTGCGTTGTAGTGGAAGCCCTCCCGATTCGAATAAGACGTGGAAGAGCTCAGTGCGACGAAAACTGTGGCCGTAGTAACTTGACGCGCAAAACACGTCTATACAATCTCCCGTTAAGTGCGAAGTACGAGCCGTGATCCGTTTCCTTCTCGCAAAGGGAAAAGCGCTGTTTAAGATTTTCGATGAGATTAAAAGTGTTTATGGCGAAGGAGGTACGAACCGTACGAATGTGTTTAAGTGGTGTCGCGAAATTAAGAATGGCAGAACGAGTGTTCACGACGATCAGA